ATATTATTTACTGACTCCATGAATATCATAGCTAAAGGCAGTGAGAGTCAAGAGATTCAAATAAATTTATAAAGTTTACAGAAAGTTCATATGGTAAAAATAGGATTTAAATTCAGTTCTACTTGACACTGAAGGATTTCTTTTTCCACAGTGAGCTGATGCACCCCATGTGAAAAGCTGTGAGATCAAAACAGTGGCAGTGGCTCTGAAACATGATTATGCTAGATCTTCAAAGTCTAGCTGAGGAGGTATTTGAATATTTTCTATTAAGTAATCACACATTCTTTCACTATCTACATGGTTAAATTGATGGTGCATCAAAATCCAGGATGGGCAGAAGCACACAGCAAGCTTGCTGCTATGAACCTTTTCTGTGCTCAGAGGTAAGCTATGTTAACAGGAAAACATTATTTTTTTCTTCATTGAGTTTATTTGTACATTGTTTTTTCTTGTCCAATGGAATGGATTTATTTATATATTTATTGTTCCTCTCATTGAGTTTTTTGGTACATTTTAGGTATACACTACAGTTACATTACTGGGATCTTATACCTTTACATGACAGGTCTTGGTTCTCATTTTTTCCCCTTGTCCCTGCCCTCCCTTCACCCCCTCCTCCTATCCCCATTTACAAACACTTTATTTCCATTTTTTCATTTTCTCATATATTTTTTTCATTTATTAGCTTTCCCCTACCCTTCCCACTTTCCTTAGACCTTTAGCCCTTTTCTTCCTATTTCACATTGTCAATTATATTATTAGAATCTTATGTACATAATATTTTTCACACCAGAGAATCTATTCAGTATTTACACATGTGTGACATTTATTTCACTTAGGAGTATATACTTAATATGTATCAATTTTTCTATGAATGAATCTAATTTCTCATTCTTTATGGCTGAGTAGTATTCAAATTTATACAAAAACCACATCCTCTTTATCCAGACTGTTGGTACATTTTAGGTATACAGCACAGTTACATTCATCATTGGGATCTTGTACCTTTACATGACAGGTCTTGGTTCTCATTTTTTCCCCATACCCCTGTCCTCCCTTCACCCCCTCCACCCTTCCCCACTTACAAAGACTTTGTTTCCATTTTTTCCTTTCCCTTATTTCCTTTCCTCTACCCTTCCCACTTCTTCTACAGCTTTAACCCTTTTCTTCCTATTTCACATTATCAGTTACACAATTTGAATCTTATTTACACTTTTAGTTTTTCACACTAGAGAAACCAGTGTTTACATGTGTGTCCTATTGATTTCACTTGAGTATGACCTCAATATTCACCCGTTTTCCTATAAATGAATCTAGTTTCTCATTTTTTATGGCTGAGTAGTACTCAGTTTTATAGAAAAACCACATTTTCTTTACCCAGTATCCAACTAATTAGCAACTGAGCTGTATCCAAGTTTTAGCTATTACAAACTGTGACACTAGAAACATGGGTGTGCATATATCCTTGTGGTATGATTCTCTTAATTCTTTTGGAAAGATACCCAGCAGAGGATGGCTGGGTCAAATGGAACTTCTAATCCTAGTTTTCTGAGGTATCTCCATGTTGATTTCCACAGTGGTTGTACTAGTCTGTACTCCCACCAACAATGGAGAAGGGTTCCTTTCTCCCTACAATCCTGCCAACATTTGTTATTGGTTGATTTCTTGATAGCAGCCATTCTTTCTGGGGTGAGGTAGAAGCTCAGTGTTGAGGAAAACATTTTGACTAGCTCTGTATAGATCTTCAAATCTCTAATTGAAGGGTGAATATTCATTACACATTTTTGGCTAATTCATTTGTTCTTTCTCGCATCACTCAAATTTGTTGATGGAAAATTAAATTACACTATCTTTTCAATAAGCTAGGTAAAACTTTAAAGCAAAGAAAATTAATCTCTGTGGAAGATGAAGGGTTTCTTAGATGCTTTAACAAGTTATTTCTACCAAATCCCACTGTCTTAGTAGGAGCAACTGGAAAGTGTGCTTACCTAAGCTTAACCTAAGAGAAATTTTCTTTTCAAAGAGTTAGAATCATAAGAAAAGATATACATATATATCACAACAACAACAACAAAAATTTTACTACAGGGCAGAAATTGTGATGAAATTGTGAAGGGTTACTTTCTATTCTGGATTTCTTTTTCATTTCTAAGCATTTTCTTTAGCATCTATTCTACGAGCTTCCCCAAAATATTATTCCAGTGACATGTTTTTTTCAAACATTAGTCAGAGTACATTTCTGTGGCTTACAAGCAATCACAACAACAACAACAAAAATTTTACTACAGGGCAGAAATTGTGATGAAATTGTGAAGGGTTACTTTCTATTCTGGATTTCTTTTTCATTTCTAAGCATTTTCTTTAGCATCTATTCTACGAGCTTCCCCAAAATATTATTCCAGTGACATGTTTTTTTCAAACATTAGTCAGAGTACATTTCTGTGGCTTACAAGCAAAATAATAACAATGGCACATGATTTAAATCTAATTGGATTTAAATATGGAAAATACTCTGTGGTGTTTTAGTATGTCAACTTGGCTAAACTGGAACTATCTTTCCCACAATCCTCTTCCCCATATGGTTCCAAGCTGAACTTTGCTAAGAAGTGAAATATTATGGAATTTTGGGCAGAAGTAAAGCAGGAGCCGTTACAAGCTGAAGGTCATGGTTACTCATAGTGTGAGACAACTGCTTACGTGTCCCCTCCCTTTGGTGTGACCACATCTTTGCAAGTGCTTTCTCTGAAGAACAGAGAATTCTGGCCTTCAAGTAAGTACAATATCAAGAAGCTCCCATATTTTATTATTCTGTCCCCTTTCTTTGGGGTGTCATTCTAGTGCCCCAGTGTACCTGGTCTTTAGCTTCCTTGGAAAACCCCGCATTGTCACTTAGTGCAGTGCTTCAGAAAGGCACTTTGCCCTGATTCTTTAATTTCCATTTTTGGTCTATTTTTCTAACTTCTATAACAATTGTGCAAGATTTTATTCTTATAATAAAATTTTTCATTTCTTAATACTTTTAGAGGTTCTATTTCTATTATTACACCCTGATTGTTTCAGTTTTTGTTGCCAAAATTGGTTCCACAAGAGCAGAATATTACAGATAGCAATGAATAATAGATTCACTGCTGATTACATTGAAAAACATGGATGTTGTTACTGGGAGTAATAAAAGGGACACTGGTAATCTATGATATGCAATGGTAAAACTCTAAAAACAAAAATTATCATCTTATAGCATTTTTAAAAAAACAGGTCATTACCTGTGTTAATGGTAACATCCAAAAGTTTGGATTTAATGACAAAGTTTTGGGTCATTAAGTAGATGCTGTGGTAGAATACTTTAATGAAAGTTAATATAACACTGTTGACTGATTACACTAGAAAATATGAAGAAAGAAATGAACTTAAGGTTTAGGTTTCAAGATTAATGTCTTGGAAATGGATTAGAAAGCCTTTATTTTTTTTTTTCTCTGAGTGAGAGAAACTCATACTATCTACAAAATTTCATAGAACCAAACCCAAAACCTACTCTAAAGGGTGGCTGGACTGTAGTTCAACCTAGCCTTTCAGTATTTCTTAAATTAAGATAAAGTATTGATTGAGAAGCAGTAGGGCCACAAAAATGTGATGGGAATATATGGTTCTAACAATGCAAAAACTTGAAGTTTTTAATTATATTAAGCCTCATTTGCCGCAGGAACAGACTTTCCTCCCAAGTTTGAGGAATTCAGTCTCTCTTTGCCTGGAGAACTCAGTTGTCCTGAACTTTACTTCCTGATCCCCATCTACATATCTACCCCACCGTTTCTTTCCGCTTATAAATTGAGGTGTTGTAGGTCAGATAAAAATTATGTCCTAAATACAGGAACATATGGTACACACTAAAATAATTCTTTTACATACTTTATACTTACATAAACAGAAACCTGGGGTTTATGTGTGGAAAGGGATTAAACCTGTATTGGAAAGAGTGGGAGAATTTAATGATGGGACAGGTTGAATTTATTGAAATCAGTTCAGAGAACAGTTTCTGTCCTCAGTGTAAATGACTAGTAATTGGCACTAACTATAGGCTTGATAAGTTGGCTAAAATCAAGCTACTAGAACTTCCTTGGTATAGTTTGGAGGAATTATCAAAAGGGTTACAAATATTGAAAGACCTGTTCACTTCATCTTCCTTATATGCTTGACCCATATAAAAGTTTGAAAGATACTTTTTTAAGGCTTTGAGAAATACATTGATGAAAGTAGAATCATCACCCTACAGGAGCTCAGCGGTGAGTCTTTGCTCCAGGATAGGAATAAAAGTAGGAAGCCTTACTATCAAAATAGAATTCCTAACTTAATAGAGATGATAGGATCCCAAAGTGGCAGGGGCCAAGCAATAGCACTTAACTGTTAGAGACAATGTGGGCAAAATTTATGTAATAGGTAGAGCAGTAATCAGAATGATTATTTTCCACATTTTGTCATTAGGCAGTCTGTCATGGTGTCCCAAGGACTGAATGCATATGTGATTTGCTAAATTCTTACTTTATTTGTAGAAATGGAAAAACTGAGTCTATTGAACAGAAGTCTAACTTGAATCACTGAAATAGATAAGCAATTTCCATTTTGTGAGCTAGTTCACATTTCTAGGGCATCTTGAATGAAAGGGTGCCAGATTTCTTTCAGGAAGGGCTTTGCACTGCCAAAAACTTACACAATGTATTTTCCTCTAATCTTCCCCTAAAGAATATGTGCCCATTTACAAGGGTGTGTTGAGAAAGGGAGAATTACTATTGTAAACTCGACACTATCTCTGATGAGCCAAAATTTCCAGAGACATAAAATTCCAGGATCATTCTCCAGTCAGGAAAGGGGAATTAGATGGTCAGGATGTTAATGATGTTTTGCTTGAGTTTGTTCCACTGGGAACACAAGCCCACCCTGTGTTTCTTTTTTTCCCTCAGTGCCAGAATGTCTAACTGGAATAGTCATACGTGTATAAGAAACTCACAGAGCACTCATACTGATTTCTAGATCCATGGATTGAGAATTTCTATGGTGGAAATACCTAAGAGAAAAGCATTTGGAATAACTTCTGCCTATAAAAATAGTGAACTAAAGGTAACACTTCTTCCTGTATGGGTTTTAAGATTAGTGTCACCATCAAAAACTTAAGAAAGTAGAAATCATTACCTGTAACACATATCACTTTCACATCTAACTTTCCTATTTTGTCTGTGCAGAAGATAATGTTAGAAAATGACTTAGTCAGATGGTAAATTCAGTTGCAGCAGCTCTTTCAGATGTGTTTTTTTTTCCACTAGAGCAGATCAAAATATTCCCTGTTATGCAATTAATTTGTTGAATTATTTTCTTTCTGTTACTAGAGACAATGAAAAGCAGATAACTTTCATTTGGCATAGCCAAGAATATATCTTTCTCTTCAGACCTAAAGCAAATTTCTAGCTGTTTGTATAATCTAGTCTCTAGGGTCCTTGACCATCTTTACAATTCAAGAATATACAACTTTTCTAATATTCAATAATATTCAACTCTCTATTCTCACTGCATATATATATTTCACTGCATATATATATATATATATATGCAAAATATATGTTGCACAAAAATTAAAAATGACTCTACCTGAGGAAAATTGTATATGTTATCAATGGTCCAGAGAATGTTAAGATAAACACAAAAATTAAAAATGACTCTACCTGAGGAAAATTGTATATGTTATCAATGGTCCAGAGAATGTTAAGATAATGTCCTCCCAAGGTGAAGAACAAGTTGGCCCCTCCTGCTATAAAGAGAAAAACCTCAGGGTCTCATGGACCCTTTTGGGCTATAAAGATAACATTTATTTTATTATTGATTAACTTGGAAGGTTGCAATTCTGTGCAGGTTTAGAGGAAGGCTCAATTTTGAGCCACTTGACTACCAAATTTGCGATGTGTGACATGTCTGTGAAAGATAGAAATGTTTTATAGAATTTTTATCAGGACCTTATCAGTAAATTACAGTTCAAATGATTAGGATTTTGGAGAAATATCAATATGACTTCTTCAAATGAAAAAAGCCTCTTTCAAAAGACTTCTGCTTTGTTACTGGATCCCAGAAGAGCCTGAACTATATCACTCTAGGTCATCAAGTTATCACATAACCTGTTATGTCCATTGAGGATTGGTTGTTGACTTGTCCTACTGAGCCTTAAATTTGAGCATGTAGAGCTTTATTCCACCAATAAATGGCAGTGGTGTATATATAAGATCCTGAGCTTGAGCATGTCCTTAGGCACAAGTGAATTTCATCTACAATGGTTCAGATTCTCATGCTGCCTACTCCCTATCATTAACCCATATTTATGGCTTCATCTACTGAGGAATAAGATCTTTGGACTGTCATATGGTTCTGCATGATATGCAGGCATTGCCTAAAATGACTAATGGTTTAGTTTAGAAGGAACACAGTTTGAATACTGGTATCAAGATGATCTTTAGAAATGGTGTATGTACCTCTAATTGGGAAGAATATGAATATATTTGTGTTTTTAAATAATTAGGTAATTATGATCACTTGTCCTGTGAACATCAGTAATGGTCATCTCATTCTTATACAACAAGTACCTGATAAAACGGTGACTGTTTTAGAAAACTGAACTTTTGCTTACTAAGGAAAGTCTGATTAGAGCTGTTGCTAAATTTCCTACTTTCAAGATCAGAAGCCAGAGCTTAGTTCTGGCAAGGCATTATTCCCCAAGGGTGACCAGTGATCAACCTATAGGCAGATTGATCTCACTGAATAAGTTCCATTGTACCATAATGGAAGGGCAGTTTTTTTCTAAATTAGGGTTTCTGAATATGAATTTTGTTTTCTCTGTACAAAATATTTCCAAAACCAATATCTGTGAACTTTCAGAAACCTTATTCATTGGTAGTTCATAGTAGTTCACACATCAAGTTTGTGATAAGGAAACTAATTTTGCAGCTAATAAAATCTAGCATTGGCCCATGTTATGGAAATTACTGATCTTATGTTCCTCATCATGCTGAGACAGCTGGCCCAATGGGTGGATTAGACGGTTTTTTGAATACTCTGCTGTAGCACCAGCTGGGTGGTAGCACTTTGTGAGCTGGGATTATTTTATTCAGGATATAGCATATGCTCTAAATCTGTGATCAGTGTATGATGATATTTCTCCCAAGGCATTCCAAGGTCCATGAATAAAGAATTGAAAATTGGAATTTTTTGATATTATACTAAAAATTTCAATATTGAAGTCTCTGCTTCTGCCCCTACAACTTTTAGATTTCTTTGTTTTGAGTTATCTCCTGCTCCATATCCAGCTTCCCTTCCATTATACCAGGTGTATTTGACTTTTTATTTGAGATAGTGCATGAATCTTATTTGCATCTATCGGGGTTTGGTGTTGGTGGATACATTAGCTAACAAAAGATGAAATTATATCTTCAAGATTCCCCATCATCTTTTGCACCCTATATGCTCAATCATAAATATGAGCTTAAAATTGATCAATATACATGAAAAAATCAGGATCAGTGCATTGTTATGACCCTTAAAATTTTCTGTCATTTAAGCCATATGACTCCTGTTTCTTCACCTTGTAAAAGTGCAGATACCTCAGTACTTTGGGTGTGAGATGCTAAGTTTATTCCATTTAGTTTGAACTTGTGCCCTCCGCTTTCATGTGAAGAGACAGGAAAAAACACTTCTTTCTATTCCTTTTCTTAATTTTTCAAGACAGCTGGACTGTTGCCCAGTCATATTGGCAAATCACACTCCTAATTTATGCAGAATATGATAAAGCCCATGCTTGCTGATTTTTATTGCATAGAAGCATATGGAACCAAAAAGTGCCAGACCCAGCTTTGCACTCCAGGAATGTGTAGGAGGGCTTACCAGCATTTACAGGGTGAAGAAAAAGGAGACATGAGTAAAACTCATAAGACAGTCTAAGTTTTCTTTCATTACCCTCACTTTTGGGAATTTTAGGATATATTTCTGTAAGGGATATATTTATGGAAAAATATATTATTTAAGTGTACATGACATTTTTCTTCTTAAAGGAATACTTTTTATTTTTCTGAATCTTTTTTGTAAGCCCCTTTAAAAAACTTAAATATGCATCATTCTCAATTTTTAAAAAAGTAATTTTCCCTCTATACCTATGAGAATTTTATGCAATTGGAATATAGTTGAGTTATACTAAATTAAATGAAAACTTCTCATTCAATTTCAAGAAGTAAAATAAGGGAGTGAAAATGAAATGAGATTTTATTTTCTAATTTAACTACTGTGTTAATTGTTTTAATGCTCTAATTGTAGCCTGGTAAATACACACCATGGAGGAAGTCTTGGATTTCCCTGGACACATTTTTACATGATGGTCTTTTGTACTTGTTATAAACATTAAACTGTGCTTGATTCTCTAGGATCTATTAACACTCATTCTCAGAACATCAACTCTCTCCATATGTGAAACCAATGAGAGTTCTAGTTAATGGGGCAGATCTATTCCCTGGAGGCTGCACCTAGCCTTGCCTTATAAATAAATATGTTGCTGTAGTTCCAAATATTAAGCAAGTTTTTATTAAAACAAATGTCCCTACCCATTCAAGCAGACAAAAGCACCATGCCTGAGTGAGGAATCAAAAAAGCCCCAAACCATCAAGATGGGAGATATTTTAGATTAAAATGAATGTTTCAGTTTGTTTATTTATACATATTTTTATGAAAATGGATACAAATACAAACATACATTAGCTTCCAAGAATTATAGTAAAATACTATGGTTTTAAAGCAGAACACCATTACTGTTTATTTATTTATTGTAGCAAATTGTTTATTTGCCTTCTAGCACAGTCACTTTTTCCCTGCTAATGATTGTCTGATTTCTCTGCAGTAAATACTCCTTTTTCAGCTCTTTGAATTAGTGGGGCACTTTCTGTAGGTTGAAAATGACAGAAATGGTCCAAACCTCAATGAGTACATCAGTATCATTGGTTTAGTTAAGTTCTTGTGATCCCTTAAGACTAATTGAGAGGCAGGGATACTCTTTCTTTTTCTTTCTTTCTTCCTTTCTTTCCTTTGTTTTTCTTTTTCTTTCTGTATTAGGATAAATTTCTTTTGTTTTTCCTATTGGATATGAACCTTACAGGATTAGTGACTATTTCCACTGCAGTAATTTTGCAATCATTTTGAAAAATGGGGCCAACTTCAAAAAAGCAAATGTGAAGAAATAAAGGTGAAGAGAATGATCTTTGATATCATGATTCAAGCCCTGGAGGAGCTAAGCTGTGTGTCATCTCCTGAGTGCCTAGTTATTTGATACAACATACCCTCCTCTCTACTCTTTTAATTTGACTTTTTACTAACAACAGAAATAATTTTCACTGCTATATTCAAGAAAAATAATGGCACAGCTGTTGATACTGGGGCGAGAGTAGGGTGAAAAAGGCTTCCCAGAAAAATGGCATTCAAATTAAGTCATCAGAAATATATATTTAAATAAAATTGGTCTGATTCCTAATTAAATTGGGGTTTCTTCAAATCCAGTACAGCATACAGGACATGGATACAAGCTATTTCTTTGGGACATAATCCCAGGAAATATGAGAGTGTAAGAGAGGGAATAGGGAAGATGATACAAGAAAGCAAATAAAAGGATAATTTACAAGGAAATTATGCTGGCTAAACGGCCAAGGAAGCCACTGAATTTATCCATTACTCCCTTCCAGAATGGTTGCTTGTTGTTCCTGGGGTCTTACCTCCTCTATAATTTTTGGCTGTGTGCAGGAGAATATTCTCTGTGGCGCTGGAGGGAGGTAATGGGGGATAAAAGAGGCATAGACTGTCAGTGTGCTGGGAACTAATTGCAGGTAAACTGACGTGAGCCAAGCGATGTGGGGTGGCATCAACTTCATCTGTTACAATTTCCATTTTCTGTAAGAAGTCCTACTCTCATTATTTTCATGAATTCCCAAACACTTATATTTTATTATTATTATTTTTTTGGTACTGGGTTCCTAACTCCAGTGAATGGTTTATTTCATTGTGGTTGTTTTCTTCCTTCAGCTTTGTGTTGAAACACATGCTGA